AGGACTTCTCCGGATTGATTGCACCACCTGTTGCCCGAATTCCCCCCAACCACAAGGTGGCAGCAGCCTGGACTGAGGCGCAAATATCCTCCCCAGAGTGATGGACTGTGTCACCTGCTTCAATCACATCTGTATTGTCAACAAAACAGAGACGAACCGGAACCATCCGGCTGCGAGGTAGCGGCGGATCACAAACCCCTTGAAGAAGGTAGAGGATAGCGTGTTTGATGGCTGGGTCAGTGACTTGGGTGTCCAACCATTGGTCCAACGACGCCGTCCAGCGCTCCCATTCCACACTCGCCGAGGGCGCCGTACAGCGAGGAACGTGAAGGTGATCCTTGAACTCGCCGCAGCAGGGACATGCAGCTGAGTCTGCGGCACCCCACCAGACTTTGAACTTCCCTACACCACACATACCCATGACATGCTTTGTGGTCCAACGTTGGACACCTGCCGGAAGGGAGCTCATGGCGCGAGCCAGACTGATCCAATCGGTCTCCACCTCTGCCGCTGTTGTAATCATCTGCCCCTCGTGCCATCGCTTGCGTAGAGCAGGCAGCGCCACCAATTCCTGGACCTGTTCTGGATTCAATCGTGACTGTTTGACGTCCCCAATGTAGAGGGCAGTCAATTCGGTAAAGAAGCGAGCGTTAGGAGCAATCACTAGGTGTGAAGCTTCGAGCTGGTGGCGATAGGCAACCGCCCACGCATCCACTTCCACATTCCGTTTGGACAACCAAGAGAGACACGAAAAGGATGTCGCCTGATCAAGGTGACCGTACACGTGGCTAGGTTCTTACGAGGCCCTAGAGCGGGCAAGTGCCTCCCGGATAGAGGAGACCAGGTCAAACACAGCCGGTCTTCGAGTAGGGCTGCAGCAAGGAGGCTTTCGTCGCCGTCAATCTCAATTTCTTCAGGGGTCCAGCCAACATACTCGGTCACCCTGGCTGAGGCGGTCATCCAGGCGGCTAGCAAGGACGGTTTAGAGTCGCGATGCGGCTGCCGTGGTGCTGTCCCAATGCCGGTGAGGGCTAGAGTGCCTAGCAAAGGCGTAATGTGGACGGTAGCTTGGCACAAGTCAGCTGGGAGTGGTTGGGTCCAAAAGGGGGCTGGCAAGAAGCTGACGCCGTTGTCGGTATGCTCATTATGTGGTCGTTTGCACCCGGACAATTGCGTAAAACGGGGATAGTCCCATTGAATGCTCCGTGTGGAGGAGCGACGGTGACGGTAGTGTTGCCACCCGTGGCCCTGGTGGTGGAACAATCCGTGGGTAGAAGACCATAACCAGTTCCAGTTGTCAAGAGGATCGATCCATGGGCCCAGAGGATGACGCAGTAGGCGCTGGGGTCCGTCAGAGACAAGTAGTGCTCGAGTAAGGTGTTACTGCCACACCTTCCAGTGGTTCCTGTTGGGCCAGACAGTGCAAGGCCATTGATATGACGACCGATGAGCGTAGTCACGTTCCCCATGCCACATGGACTCTCGTATGCTGCGGCCATCGGCCGTCACGATGTCGGAGACGGTGCAAACTTGGAGGAACATACGGCACCAGTTGAGCCACTTTAGAGCGGCCTGATCCACTTCTAACTCCATGAATACCTCTATGTGCAAGGCATCGCCTTCACACCGGAGAGGGAGGCCAGGAGAGTCAAGAGCAACATAGATATCCAAGTCCTCCAACTCTTTCCAGACTCTTTTGAGCCAAGTATCTGACGCCAAAATTGCCATGTTGCTATAGTCCTGCTGGAAGAGTCCGAAGGAGGTGCCGGTCTCAAGTTGGTGTTCTTGGACCGCAGCCTCCATATACGCCCCAGTTTTTGTTTGGTTGGACAAGTGGCGAAGCAGAACCTCAATATGTTTAGACACCTGAGTACCAAACCGATGGGGGATGCCCAGACCCTGGAATTTGAGAGGGGCAAGAACCATGTCACAAGGAAAGCTCCTACATATACCGGCCTTTGGCAGGCAGACTTGAAGAACCAGACTTATAATTGACACCCATGTCGCAGCATCCAGTGTAGTTAACACCATATGATATTCCAGGGATTTCATCACTGTTGTCTTTATAAGGGGAATGACATCGTATTTGTGTAGATGCCCTGACCGCACTTGCTCAGCCCACTTTTTGGCGATACTCTTGAGGTGAGCGACGTGAGCATGTTGATCTTCCAATGGGGCCAACATGACCCCCAAGGTTTTCTCTGCCTCATCCGGCTCCAGACGGCGTAAGGCTTCCAATTCGCCAGTCAGTCCAGGTATTTGTAATGGATGATCCGATAGGAGTTGGTGCGTCCGGCGGAACCTCCATTTGCCCTCTCTGGAGTCCCACACAAAGTCAATCAACCACCAAAAGGACGTTTCTGGGTTAATTGCCCCTCCAGTAGCACTAATGCCTCCAGCCCACGTGGAAGCCGCTTGTTGGACGGAGTAGCATATATCCTCGCCAGATTGTTCCACGGACTTGCCCGCTTTGATCACATCCGTGTCGTCGACAAAGCAGAAGCGCTGGAGAATCAGAAGGTCCCACACAAGGCGTTTAGACAGGGCAAGATCAATTGCTTGATGGTGTTTTCTAGACCCGCACTGTCCATTGGCCAAGAGGTGATATTCTTCGCCGTAGGCCATGGCCAGGCGGCCCAGTTTCTTGTAGTTCGCTTGGGATTCAGAATTCATGAGCTGAATCGTACGCATTTCTGTCAGCCGAAAGTCGCCCGGCTTCTTTTCAATGGCAAAATTCATCAGATGCCGCCAGTTGTCAGGGATAAACCCAGTTTCAGTGATTGCCGCTTCCAATTGACTATCCTTCTCAAGTAACTCATCCATGGCGCCTGCTACTGTAGCTCCATCATCAATATCTTTTGCATCAGCCATTTCCATATCAAATTCCAGCTTAGCTTTGGCGACGTCGAGTGGGTCAGACCCAAATCCATCAAGGAAATCGATGGCTTCATCAATGCCTTGTAGAGTTTGGTCCAATGGTCGAGCCCGTAAAGTCTCCAAGCACCACACAAGTTCCTTGCGGCGTGTCGTATGGATCAGAGAAATGGACAGCCACTTTGTAATCACCCTATTAGCTTGAGTAGTTGTCAACTCCCCCAAATGATGCGTAAAGAATGGGACCAGTCCATTCAGTACATTCGTTGCCAAGGCAGCATATTTCAGCCTACTGATGAACAAGTAGGTCCCTTCCATCTCACCTGGTAGCACCATGATGAACAAGGGACTAGGAACGTTGTTCTCCAAGTCCATTTTTCTCTTCCTCTCCGCTTCCTTTGCACGGCGCTGCTGCGCAGGGGTGAGAACCGGACCGTCATGCTCCAGAGTCGGTGCCACGGCCGACTTTGGAAGTTGCTTCTTGATCTTTGTCTTCCCTTTGACAGTCACCTTGGTGAACTTGTGGGAGAAGTCCTTCAGCAAGGAATCATCAGAATCGGAATCCGAGTTCACATCCGCAGCTGCCACTTTCTCCGCGTGAACAGGTGGGGCTTTGATGGGAAGAAACATGGACAAACAAGTGCAAGGACCAAAGGCTTTGGTAGTTGCCTGTTTCAACATCCCTGGAATCTCAACTGGACAATATTTGGCCTGTGTCAGTTCCATGAAGTCGTTATGCTTTGAAATCATAGTGAGATTCTCATCCTTAACCGGACCCACAGCCTTAACGCTGATTGTCCCGTTCTGAGCAGCCTTCCAATCGCTAATGTAGTGTGTGACCGCGCACATGGGAAATCTTTCTTAGGGGTAGACGGGTGCAGCCATAATCGTAGTTCTTGATCCGCTCGCTTAGCGTCCCTCGATCTGACATAGACGTGCCACATCATTCATCCGGGCGATCGTTCATTCCACTTGCTTCGGCCGTTGTAGGGAATGTTTACCCATTTGTACCACAGGCCGATAACCGTCTTCCAGTCAAAGTGTTGCATTAATTCTTTCTCCGTGGCCCTGATGTTAATTTCCTGTGGATAGAAGCACAGAGCCACGATCTTTTCGATATCACCAAACTGTAGAACCGATTCATAGCAGCCCGCTCCATACCCTTGCGGACGCAATTTGCCGTGTAGATATTGGCAAATTGTTCCTGCCGCCACCTCAACCTCAAAACCCACTCTCATCCTTGTACAAAGCTTCTCTTCGCCTGGCTTATTGGAAGTCGAGGCATATGACATGTTGCCGAAAGACATGTCCAGATACTTGGACAAGCTCCGGTAATCGGGAATCAGCCGTCAAAGATCCGCTTCTGTTCGGATCCACTGCTTAGACTTCTTGTAAGCGCTGTCAGACAAGGGGAGAAAGCGAATCTTCTCCTCCGCGTGCTTTAGGACGTCTGCCAGCGTATCCAGAATATGGTTCAAGATGATAGAGGCATGGGTCGTATTCCCCCCTTGTTGACCTTGAAAGCTGTACGCCATTCCCAGTTCAACCAGGATAGCCTGACCGTCCATGCTGTCCAAGTTGACTTGTCGCAGCCCATCTAGGCGTTCTTCCAATGTCAAGCTGTGTTGTAGTCTTCGTTTGGCCTTAGAGCTTTGTGTCATGGAAGTGGTGTCCGTTTTTTGTGAAGTTGGTGTGGTTGATTGTGAAGCAGACGCTGAATGTGTACGTTTAGCACTGGGTTCACTCAAAGAGCTCCCGTCCACATCCATTTCTGTAGACGGAGCGACCACCGAAACCCTGTGGGACCGTCCCTTCTTCCTCGGCGGAGATGTCAATTCAGGGTCCTTGTCGTCACCAGTAACAACGGTCAGTTCGGAAACTGGCTCATCTGTATTCAGGCCCATGTTGTTGGTGTCTTTGTTGTTTGCAGTATCCGTAAGCTTGTAAGTACTTTCCACAAGAATGACAGAATCCTTGGTTGATTCGTCAGTATCCTCGTCATCCTCCTCCACCTCGCCCTTGTCGTCGTCGTCGTCGTCGTGGGTGCGATCGTCACCAGAATCAAGTTCGCCGTCTATTTCCATGTCTTTCCTCCTGTCATTTGAGTTGTCGTCAACTGTCTTGTCAGAGTCCCACCCATCGGGTTGGCCGAACTTATTGACAAGGCCAGTGTCCTCGTCGCCCATCGGATCATCTTTCTCCTCAGAATCTTTGTAGTCAGGATCAAATATCTTTTTGACCCCCTTGTGAATATCCACCTTATTAGTTTCGTCGTTGGGAAATCCCTCAATCACCTTCAATCTTATTTCTTGAATGCAAGAGATTGGGGATCCCTTGAGAAAATTCGTCAAAAAGCATCGTCCATAGGTGATCAAATATGGAAGCGCACATCAACCAGAACTGCACCAGAGGAGTCTTGTTACGTAGAGCGGGATTCGTCCGATCGTCCCTCAAAAAATAAAGATCTTCTTGTGGCACTTTGGAATTGTTAACAAGGCCAACATCAAAAAAAGAAAACGGAATCTGCTGGGCGACTTGCAATGCAATCGCTCTCACTCCCCATGTGTATTCTGTATTTTTTTCCACATTTCCCAAAGCGTCATTGTCAAAAAGCGAAATTAGGAAATTTCAACACCCGCTGCCAATCGTTTGCATATTGAGCAAATAGCATGTTAACCCTGACTTCAACTGAATAATTAGCATAGAGGTCCTTGAACGGGCTGTCAAACCTTGGGAGCGCTTGGGTCCACCGATCATTATGATTTTCCATCCATTGATTGAAAATGGAGTTGCCAAACGAAATCTTAGTTGAAATAGTTGTAGCCGATAGCAATCAATTTGTGAGCAGATAAGCCAAATTCGATCAGTGGTGGAAGAGATGCGATCAGCTCTTGAATCTCCGAATCATTGTTGACACTAGGATCCCTTTCCTTAGGTTGACGTAAATCAACTGCAGATGCATTTTCCAATCTTTTCTTTCCGCTCTTTTTGGCAACAGAAACCGATTTGGGTGTGAACCCGCCCGCCTTGTTGGCAGTCGTTGAGACAACCTTCAGTGATGTAGACTTCCCCATTGTAAAACAGTGAAATGCCGTTGAATTGATAAAAAACTTCAGCACGTTATACGTAGACTCTAGTACTTAAGCTACGAAGACCGATCGGTTCGGTGCTTTTTGTTTTTCGTTTTTCTTTTTCTATAACTTGTTCTTCAACGGTTTCAATTCTCTTTCTTGATGCTTGCATCTTGTCGCAACTCGATTTTTATTCTTATTGGCAGAACTGCCACTCCTGCTCAAAGGCAATTCTCTTGGTCTCTTTGGAACTTGGGAAAGGTTCAGCCCTGACATTTTAGCTTGCGCATACGTTTGCCCAGATTGAGTGACTTTTGCTACTTGAGGCTCTTCAGGCTCAAATACAATCTCTTCTTCTGGCGGTTCTTGTAGATCCTCCAGATCAGTAACAAGGCTCCCAATATCATCGGTTCCTCTATCGACATTTTCTTGATGGTGATCCAAATCGGCCACAATAGGTTCTTCCTCTTCGTCGCCTTCATCACCCAAATCGTCGTCTGATTCATAGTCATCAGCTCCTTGGAATCTGACAGTGAGTTCTGGCATATCATTGACATCATTGTCTGCATCTGCCAAGAGCTCTTCTCTTTTGGAGTCATCGATATCATCGAATTGTCCATGTAGATTGAAATCACGTCCATCGTCATCTTCAGGTTCATAGTCCTGATCAAAGGCTTCTTCTAAGTAACCTTGTTCCGTGTCATCCACTCCTGCAATTTGATTGCCATCTTGAAATGTCTCCAAATCTCTCTTTTTATCAAAGAACTTCATGGAAGTAACACCTTTGGCAGCAGCCCAAGCTTCAACACGCTGGATTACTTGATCGGTAACGGGTAGTACAACGGCCTTGGGTCGGGAAATCATCTTCTTAGTATTGAGGTTGAGCCCTCGGTGCCCAGTACGTTGTCCCTTTGTAGGTCCAATGTAAATCGCTTCAATACTTTGGGGTTCCATCAAATTGTTGGAATCCGTCCCAATTGCATGAACATATTGTCCAAGTTCAGCAACCATGTCACTCTTGTAGTTGATATTGACATTATCAATGAGTTGCTGCAGACTGAAATGTGATGAGATACTGTCTTTCTGGGG